GACTCGAACCAAACGTGTGACCCCACCTATGGATTCCTCGTTCGGAGAGCAATCCATTGGTGGGGTCACACGTTCGGTTCGAGTCCCATTTAGCGACTCTGGAGCTCAAAACGCGTCCGGGATTTCGACCGCCTCCACCGGTCTTCTGGCCCACTGCGCGGCGGGCAGGCGACGTCTGCGGTCGGCCGAGGGGCCTCCGGGGGCTCGGGGGCCTCGGGAGGAGGGCCGGGGTGGCTGGGAGGAGCGCGGTGGCTGAGCGAGCTCAAGCTGATTCCAATTCCCTACAGGTAATCAGAGCCGCTCCAGCCACGCTCGACTCCACCGCTATGGAAATTCGCCTGGAAACTGATTTAGATTAGCAGACCGGGGGAGGCAGGGCGGGGCGAGCGACGGGGCGGCAGAGCGGCGGACTGGAGGTACTTCATCTCGTTTTCATTCAATCATGTTTAATCCCGGTTTGTCCCAGTTTAGCCCCCGTGCTGTAGCTGGCACTCGACAAGCAGCCGGGCGCCAGCGGGTGTCGTGCCGCCGTGACGTCATTTTCTAATTTTTTGAATATTTTTTTAATCGAAATCTGGAAGATAATCACGTGGGAGTGCATGCACTAGTCTGGCGCGGCTGCAAGTAGGCCACCCTGGGTGTGCAAATGTTGCCTATTGTGCTGGCGGGGATGATGCCGCCTCGGCCCGCCTCGGCCTGCTGCGTATGCATGAGGACGACTGGCACTCTGGCAGCCGCACACACACACACACACACACACACACACACACACACACACACACACACACACACACACACACACACGTGCACTCTCAAATGCACTTGCGCGCGCGCACACCGCACACACACACACACACACACACACAGCCGTCAAGACGTGTGCTGGGAATGCGCTTCGTTAGTGCTACTCGGCCGTGACGTGTTGATGGCGCCGTGTCGGCGTTACTTTGGGCGTCGGCGCGCGGCGAGCGCAGCCACTGCCGCCGCCACTGGAGATTTGATCCTCGCCAGCCGAGCTTAGTTCGCCGCACTGCTGCTGTGCCGGACTTCAAAGCCGCAACGGCGGCTACACTAGATAAACACTTCGCCGCCAGATGTACTCCAGATATCACGGGCCCCGCCTTTTCCACGCTTCGGGAGAGAGAGAGAGCGGTGGTGGCGGAGCGGGCCGACTTGTTTGGTCTCGGACATTTCTTTTCTCCTAACGGGGAAATCGACTTGGTGTGAAACTAGTTGATTTTCCCGCTGGAAGATACGAGTCCAGGCGGCGTGGCCGTGGTGCAGCACCGCCGCTGTGTACACTGCAGTGGACCGCCTACACTAAAAATAAGAAAATAAAGTGCCAACCGCAAAACATCTGAAAACACGGGAAGGGTTTTCAGTCGGGGGATCCAGGCGGACAGGCGGCTCGTGACGCGTGTCAAGCCTGGCGGCGAGGACGGGGAGGGCCCGCGAGGCCGCGAGGCTTGTCGCGCGCCGCGTGGCCCCCAAGGCCGTTACTTTGACAGGCCTCCTCGCGGCGTGTCGCCGTGCGGTTATTTGGCACGGAGTCGAACCCCGTCCTTGGCGGAGGTCGCGAACGGAATGTACGGATATCGCTCTTCATTCTTCCCATCAGCACCGTTTGGTAAATCGAATCGGAAAATGAATTTCCCGCCGTTGTTCGCTGGTGTTGCGTAACCTCCGCGTATAACTTTTCTCGACGCGGCCGCGCCGGGCTGTGCGAGGTACACGACCCCGCGGCGTGGCGGCAGCGAGACGCGGCGAGGCTGGAGAGCCTAATCCGCCACCACCTCCAGCCCGCCCCGCCCCGCCCCGCCGCCGTCAAGTGTTCGATTAACTTTGTTAGGCGGCCAGATGAGTGGATTTGGATTGGGTGCTCAGCCGTGGCGTGGCAGCGGGGTGGCGGGCTGCCTCGCAGGCAGGCAGGCAGCCCGCCAGCCATTGACAGGCGGGGTAATTCATGACCGAATATCGATAGGCCAATATATAATCCCCGCGCACCACGTGACGGTCGTGACGAGGGCAGCGTCACAACGCGTCGTCGCGGCACTGCGAAATCGCACGCGCGGCTGTGGCAAACAGCGCGCCACTTGTCGTGGTGCAGCACGCGGAGCGCGCGGTGGAAGGAGTGTGGCACGGCACGGCACTGCAGGGCACGCCGCGGGTGGGGAATGGAACGTTGCGCTTTCCCGGCACGTTTCTCATCCGGACCGTCATAAATATGGCGCATCGGATAAACATGCGTTTGCGTGGCCGCGCGATGGCCTGGCGGGGCTGGCAGCAGCCGCCCCACAGTGGGCCAGAAGACCGGTGGAGGCGGTCGAAATCCCGGACGCAATTTCAGCTCCAGAGTCGCTAAATGGGACCCGAACCGACCTTGTGACCCCACCAATGGATTGCTCTCCGAACGAGGAATCCATAGGTGGGGTCACTCGTTCGGTTCGAGTCCAGTTTAGCGACTCTGGAGCTCAAAACGCGTCTGGAGTTTTGGCCGCCTCCACCGGTCTTCTGGCCCACTGTGCGCCCCGATGTGGTGGGGGGCGCTAGGGGGTGCCGACGACGGCGGGGCGCGTCGCGCGTCTAGCCGATTGATACGTCACTCGGGGGCGCATTTGCGACGCATTTGCGAGGCGCCTTGCCGTTTGACGGCGTGCAAATAGTCACCCCCTTTCCCCCTCTACCCGGATCGAAGAAAAATGGCACGGCATTTCCCGGCGCGCGTTCCGGGCGCGTTTCCGGGCCGTACGGCGTCCGAAATTGCGATAGGCCCCAGAGGCCGCCCGACGCGGCGGGGCGGGGCGGCCCCCCGAGGGGTCTGCGTCTGCCCGGTCTCGCCCTGCTGTCCACACGCTCCTTTTTGCTCTGTAGTAATTGAATTGGTGGCGTTTCGCCCACCGCGCAGCTTTCGAAGGACCGTCTGTCTGTCTGTCTGCGTCTGTCTGCGTCTGTCTGTCTGTCTGTCTGTCTGTCTGTCTGTCTGTCTGTCTGTCTGTCTGTCTGTCTGTCTGTCTGTCTGTCTGCGTCTGTCTGTCTGTCTGTCTGTCTGTCTGTCTGTCTGTCTGTCTGTCTGTCTGTCTGCTGTCTGTCTGTCTGTCTGTCTGTCTGTCTGTCTGTCTGTCTGCTGTCTGTCCGCACGCTGGACTGGGTTCAAATACCCGCTGAGGGGTTTTAATTTTTGGCGCGTGGTGGAATTAGCGGCGTCCGCCGGGAGCCGCTTCGACCCTGTAAGTCGGCACACCGGAGGGGATAGTTTTTCCATCCCCCTTGGTACGCGGGAACGTGGTGTTAGACTTTGACGCCCTCGCTTCGCGCGGCACCCCACGCCGTGGCGGGGCGTGGCGGGGCGGGGCGGGGCGTCGGTGCTCAAGCGGGGCCTGATGCGCCCTTCAAATAGTTGCTGGAGCGGAGAAATTGAGCATAACAAGATTAACAGCTTGCTGCTACTGGCGGGGCCGGGCGGCGCAGGCAAGGTGCGGCTGGGATGGGGCATGGGGCGGTCCTGGCGGGCTGGCCGGGGCCGCTGAACTCCGAGCACTCCGTGTCGGCGGTGTGTTGGTGTGGCTCTCGTTGGCCTGCCCGCCCCCGCGCCCCGCCCCCGGCCCTGCCTCCACGTGCGTCGAAGCCCCGCGTCAGCACCCCTTCAGTCAGTCAAGTCATATCTCCAGAGGAATCAGCCGGTAATCACACTCGTGGCCGGGGATGGCTGAGGCACGGCACTAGGAGCGAGACGGTCGAGGAAGACAAGTGGCTCGAATTCGGGCGGCCGGACTTTGGAACGTGTGCCGTGCGCCAGGATTCGGTCAAGCTTTTTCTCGTCCAGCGTTCGTCCCTCTAGGCTGGTGGCCCGGACCGGTGGCTGGGCCAACGTTGGTATTCAGCTCACGGGGACAAAATAAAACGTCACCGCGCCCATTTCCAATACGTCTGCCATCTTTTTGGGCGTGGGGGTGGGGAGGGGATCGTTTTCATGACGGAAAGGCCCCAGTGTAACAGCAAGCTAGCAAGCCCCCCCGGGCAACGCGTATTGCGAGGAGAGTCGGCCCACTAACCGCCCACAGGTTGGTGTGGATCACACGGCGTTTGGCCCTCTTGGCTGCAGTCTGCTCCACGAACCGCCAAGACAATTACCTCACGACTCAACACTGTGCCCGTCTTCTTCCCGCCGTCAGGACGACCCACCGACTTGTGTACGACACACACACACACACACACACACACACACACACACACACACACACACACACACTCACGCAACGTCACTCGGTCGCGGCCTGTGAAGTAAAGCCCCGGAGCTTGTTGCTTGTTTACGGTGAACCGGGAGAGAGGGGCGAGCGGGGAGATGGATCGCCGGCGGCAACGGTAACGGAGGATGTTTCCCAAACACACCGACGCGCGCCCACACTCACTCACACACACACACACACACACACACACACACACACCTTCACACTGACACACGCACGCGTGGTGTATGTAGCGGTGTACGACCCCGGGGCTCTGCTACACGTCATCGTCTCCACCGCGAGGCCCTCGCTTCGGATTGTGATTAAAAACGGTTCGGGCGGCCTCACATTGAACGGGCAGCTATTTCAGGCCGTAGGCCGTCGCACACTGTGAAATCTCGGACGTGTTTTGATCTCCAGAGTCGCTAAATGGGACTCGAACCGAACGTGTGACCCCACCAATGGATTGCTCTCCGAACGAGGAATCCATTGGTGGGGTCACACGTTTGGTCCAGTTTAGCGACTCTGCAGTTTAAAACGCGTCCAGAGTTTTGGCTGCCCCCCACCTGTCTTCTGGCCTCGTCTGACCGGACCGGACCTGACCGTGCACTGTGAAAGACCTGTCTTGACGGAGGTTTTGTTGTTGTTTTTTTGCAGTGGGATGGTGACGGCGCGTGCCGCGGCCCGGCGTGAGGGCCGGACCTGACCGTGTCCGGCATGGCGTCGCGGCGGGCGTGGCGGGGCGCGGCCTGGGCCTGCTTCTGGGCGGCCGCCCTGGCCGCCGCCGCCCTCGCCGCCACCGAGGACCAGCAGGATGAAGGTGAGGCCCAACAAAAGACTCTCCAGTGCGCATATTTTTTTGTCGTTTTTGTTGTTTTTTAACGGCGTGCCGTGCGGCCGTTTTACGCCCCGCGACGTCCATCCCGTGGTGGTGGCATGGAGGGAGGGTGCACGGCCTGCACGGCCTGCACGGCCCAGTGGAGGGCCGCCACTTGTGGGGTGTAAGCGCGCAAAAAGGCGGAGGAAAGTAGAGAAAAAAAAATATAAAAAAAAGTGCGTACGTGGTGCGGATGCAGCACGAAGGGCCGTTCGTTAACCCTTCAGCCGCAGAGAGGCGGAAAACTGCAGCACCTGCCAGCCCGCCCAGCCCGCGCAGCCTGCCTGTGTCTTTTTTCCCTTTTTTCTTTTTTGTCCGCCCTTGGAAGGGCGCGAATCCCCGAATAAGCCGGTCCGGTCCTTGCTTTCGCTTTTCGGCCGTGCTAAAGATGGGGTGGGGTCGAAAAACTGGACGTGTGTCCCCTGCCGCTTGAAGCGGTGCGAAGCGGGGTGAAGTGGGGGTTGCCTGGATTAGGCACCGGGATGCAAAGCAGGGCTGCTAAATCAGGTCAGGCGCGGCGACGCGGCGACGCAGGGCAGAAGGGTTGCTGTTTGGGGACCGACCGGGCCACCGCTTGGGCCTGGCTTGGGCCTGGCTTGGGCCTGGACCGGGGACTTGGGGACCTGGCCGACGTCGTGGACGTCGTCGACCCCCTGGAAGGCACCGCCACGCCACAGCCACGGCACTGCCACGGCACTGCCAAGGCACTGCCGCCACAGCGCGCGTCGCCCGGAGACGTAAGTTGGAGCTAATTCAGTCAGTAGGCCACGACCCCGGACCCCGCGGCCCTCAGGCCCCGGCCCGCCCCTGGCCCTGTCCCGGGCAGCCTCGGCCAGGGCAGACGTCACTCTAACGTCGGAACCGCGCACAACACGGAAACAGGAAGACCGCCCTGTCTGCCTGCAGTTTGGCTCGGCCATTTCCTCGCTCTGTCTCTCTCGCACTCGCGGGGCGTCCCGTCGGGTTGCGAGAGAGAGAGAGAGAGAGAGAGAGAGAGAGAGAGAGAGAGAGAGAGAGAGAGAGAGAGAGAGAGAGAGAGACAGCCCGGTTCCGAGTCGGCCTTCCGGGCGGGCGCCGGCGGCGCGTGTGTGGCGCGACACTGTTTGAGTATTCGCAGTGCATGGCCCGCCATCGCACGCGGCCGGCGTGCTTCGGGCGTGCTTCGGGCGTGCTTCGGGCGTGCTTCGGGCAGGCCTCGGGCGTGCGGGTCGCATAAGTATGCGGTTTGCGTGTTTGGCGTGATGCTGTCACGGCACGGCTAGTCAGCCAGCCACCCAGCCGTCCAGGCCCCGCCGCTTCCACCCCCAACCAATCAAGCAGCCCCCCTTCCCCCTCCCACGCTCTACCCTTCGCGACAAAAACCCGTGCCGGCAACCCCAAGGAGGAATGTGCCGACAGAGGGATGGGGCAGTGGTGGGTGTAGTCGCAAACGGTTTGGCGGGACAATTCAAACTTTAAACGAGGGGGCGGCCCGGCGGCCTGGTGGGCTGGGCGGGGCTGGCTGGGGGTGTTTGCAAGCCACCGATCGCACATATGGCGGGACCGCGAGGGGGCAGGCAGGGCCAGGCCGCGTGGGGCCCCCGCCCTGCGGATAACCTCAACCCTCTCCCCGACGACAAGGCCGGGCCCGCCCGCCCTGGGTCCTTGGCACCCCTCCAGAGGTCCTTCCTGGTCCTTCTGCCCCCTAATGATCCCCCGACACGATCCCTGGCAGGCCTTGTGCGGCCCTTGGGCGGGCCGGCGAGCATGTCCGCCACCCCGCAGGGCCCGCACCCCCCGGACACGGTGTCGACATGCGCGCGCACCTGGCGAACACCGAGGAAGCCCTCAGGCTGCTCGTCGTCTCATTGTTTCGAGGTAGTTTTTGTTGTAATGTTTTCCTGCAGCTTCCTTGCCGGCCAGGGCGTCGCGTCGCGTCGGGGCTCGCAGCGTCGCTAATTAAACTCGGCAGGCTGATTCCGAGCGGCGGTCCGTCGCGCTGTCTCTCTCGGGCCCCGCGACGCGCCCCGCGAGTGCGAGGGAGACGGAGCGACGGAAGCGCGTCCCGGAAGCAGCCTGCAGTGCGACGTCGCCGACGTCGCGGTGCGCGTCGCGTCGCCGAGCCATTTTCCGGTGGCAGCAGGTTGGCTGTCTCTCTCGCACCCGCGGGGCGTCCCGTGAGGGTGCGAGAGAGACAGCAGCAGGTGTGGCTGGCGCTGCCAGGCGCTGCCAGGCGCTGCAGCCTAGACGACGCCACTGCGATGTGCACTGGGCCGCGCTGCCGCGCTGGCGGCGCTGTTCCCCTTGCTCGCCTCGCCTCGCCTTCCTCGCTCCGTTCCGCTGTGCATTATTTCATAGGATTTCCTGAAAGGAAGGACCCGGCCCCGCCCGGGCCTCTCTTACATTTGCATGAGCGGG